GTAGAGTGAGTGAGTGAGTTGGGCTGAACGCCGCTTTTAACAGTATTCCAGTCATATCACGGCGTGTCAGCTTAATGTGGGAGGAAAGCCCGAAGTGATGAAGGTCTCAGACGTTAACCACTTCGGTGAAACCCACGGGCACGGGCATGGTGCTGACAAACCTAGAAACATAATTGGGGCGAACCGGGATTCGAACCCACAATCATAGGTTTCTGGCGTGCCTAAGGAGCGCAACTCTGCACAGCGAATCGTTAGGGCTTAGAGTTGTCCACACTTAGACTTTCTCTATAAGATGGAGACTGGCCTATTTGGGGGGCGGTAGACTTGTATACACTTAGATTGTCTCTGTTGGGCGTACGCGTAGATTTGTCCATACTTAGATGTTCACTTTGGGGCGTAGACTTGTCCACACTTAGACTCTCTCTATGAGATGTAGACTGGCCTATTTGGGGGGGGGGGGGGGGGGGGGTAGACTTGTATACACTTAGATTGTCTCTGTTGGGCGTAGATTTGTCTATGAGGGGGGGGGGGGGTAGACTTGTACTCACTTAGATTGTCTCTATTGGGCGTAGATTTGTCTATGAGGGGGGGGGGGGGGGGGGGGGTAGACTTGTACTCACTTAGATTGTCTCTATTGGGCGTAGATTTGTCCATACTTAGATGTTCACTTTGGGGCGTGGAGTTGTCCACACTTAGATTTTCTAGATTTTGCAGTGAGCAAGGTCCTTCTTCCTTCTTTGTCCTTTTTTGTATTCGTTTTGTTGTGCCCCACCTGAGAGTTTATATGGAACTACAATCTTCCCTTATCAAATTGCACACATCACGAGTATGCAATGAAGCTGATAATACAGTAAGTTATATATCATCCAAGTATGCTGTATAGGCACATATCAGTGCAGTGAACATTATAAAATACTTTAATAATAAAATGAAATATTCACACTCTCGAGACGTAGTGTAATATCATTCAAAACATGCACGTGGTCCTTTATGATTGAGGGGCGGTGGGGGAGCCTAGTGGTTAAAGCGTTGGCTCGTCACTCCAAGACCCGAGTTCGATTCCCTACAAGGGAACAATGTGTGAAGCCCATTTCTGGTGTCCTCCGCCGTGCTGGAATATTGCTAAAAGCGGCGTAAAACCGTACTCACTCACTCCTGTATGATCCCAGGTTGGGGTTAACGCAGTCTGAACAGCATTAGTTAATTTAGGAATTTGGTATGGTGCTGACAAACCAAGAACCATGATCAGGCCGAAATCTGTTACTCAAACCCGTGATCATGGGATCCTGGCATGCCAAAGGGACTTAACTCTGCACAAAGAATGTGGCGTTATGGATGACTGGGTCCCTGTGTCACCGGATGTCCCAGGATGTCCCCGGATGCTCTCGGATGCTCCCGTGCCCCATCCTCCCGACACTGTAGAGGGGATGTCTTATATAGGTGTTTCATGGAGTTCGTTACCGACGTGACAGAGCGCCAAGTGACTGAGTGGGTGTCATGGCGTGGAGCATTGCTCGTGCTTTCTATAACGGTTTCTCTGTCTCCATTATTTTCAGACCGCCATGATGCTGCTGAGTGCGGCATTTCACAGCATTCACTCACTCTAGTGACAGTTATGATGTACACGCACATGCTGCTATTGTGAATACCGTGATGCGGATACATACATCTCTTCAATGATCATCATGACCATAAACACAGTTGTCTTTATGATATATGCATATAATGGCATACTTACATTGCATTATTATTATTATTATTATTATTATTATTATTATTATTATTATTATTATTATTATAATAATAATATACCACAGGCATCCAGGTACTAGTATGCGGTTTTATTTGTTCCCAGACCAGTGGATCCGTTTGCATTCGAGTTATCATTCTCGACTCCCTGGGGAGTATACAACTAAAGCTGCATACGGGCGCTAGAGGGTGTTACATCCACCTCCCATATCGGGTACCCATTTCCAGCTGGGTAAAGAGAGGCACATTTGAACTAAGTTGCTTGCTCGGGGTGACACACGTTTTGACACATATAAATGTAAGCACCCTAACAATGGTAGGCGCCAGACTGAAAACAATTACCAGACACGCCCTCCACGTGGGTGTTGTAAGCCCAGCACTGTTACTGGTTGCTATATACATGTACATATGTCCTGATGACGGAAGTCTAGTACTGACAAACTCCATTATCCAGACATAACACCCAACAATTGCCGGGTGGTCAAAACTAATAGTTTTTATCGACTGGTATGTTTATTATAAATGTGGTTTGGTTCAACCTTTGTGATATAATTGTGTAAGGAAACCTGTTTCTATGAAATCGAAAATGTTTTCATTATTCACACAGAATGGATTTCTATCGTTCAAGTATATTAGGAATGCACACAATGCCTAGAGTTGTCTGAACTAATTTCCGCCTGAATGCAATATTTAATGCATTTTTCACAATGTGTAACTTATGTAGCGAGGCGTGTGGGCGTGGGGGTGGGGCTGGGGGTGGGGGTGGGGGTGGGGGTGTGTTGGTTTGGTGGGATGGGTAGCTGCTTGTGCTAGTCATGACTAATACTAATTTTATAGTGAGAGAGTGAGTGAGTTGAGTTTAACGCCGCTTTTAACAGTATTCCAGTTATATCGCGGCGTGTCAGCTTAATGTGGGAGGAAAGCCCGAAGTGATGCAGGTCTCAGACGTTTACAACTTCGGTGAAACCCACGAGCACGGGTATGGTGCTGACAAACCTAGAAACATAATGGGGACGAACCGGGATTCGAACCCACAATCATAGATTTCTGGCGTGCCCAAGGGACGCAACTCCGCACAGCGAATCGCGGCGCCATAGACGACTGGGCATCCATGCCCCCCTAATTTTATAGAGCTAGTCAACTGAGATACAATGCCGCAGTTTAACATGAAATTTGATACCCTAATGAGACAAAGTATATTGACTCCGAACCGACCAGTCCTTGTTTTCGCTCCTTATTTGTTTGTTTGTTTGCTTCCCCAAGTGTATTTTTCTATGAATGGTATTTCGAGTTCAGTTGGCGGTCACATAGAAACGTGTTTTGTTTATTACGTATATACCGGTATACTGAAGAAGTATGTTGAATACATAATTAGATACAGAACACATATATAGCAATATAGGCCATTTGGACAGCTATCAATCCAATAAAACCTGCTTTACACAGAATCTATTTCAGGTTTTGCACGGACGGTTTACCATGTTTACAGACCCGTGAAGATACGGGGTAAAATAGGCCTTCAGCAACCCATGCTTGCCGTAAGAGGCGACCATGCTTGTCGTAAAAGGCAACTAACGGGATCGGATGGTCAGGCTCTCTGACTTGGTTGATGCATGTCATCGATGCTCCTGATGTCAGTCACTGGATTGTCTGATCCAGACTCGATTATTTACAGACCGCCGTCATATAGCTGTAACATTGCAGAGTGCGGCGTTAAACAACAAACAAACAAACCATGTTTACAGTTGTCTCAAATTGCTTCGTACAACCACACATCCCGTCTCTGTTGTAACCTAATTTCGCGAAACCTTCATTCTAGTCTTCAGTTTACCGCTCTTTTGAAACCCAATGATATATACAAGATATATGTTGTGAATGATAATAGAATGTAGACCGACAAAACGTTACGCCTTTCTTTCATTCAACGCCTTAGAGGTTACCAAGTGCAGACTGCTCCGAAATTATGTAGGTTCGATATTAATCAAGGCATTTTGGTGTAGCGCACGAAACACGGTATTCAGTCTTAACAATAGTCATTCAATACGTCTATTATTTAGCAGGCAGACACATCCATAACAAGCGCGTCGACCCTCACTGAGCTCAAGCTTAAAGGGTTATATATTCCTTGCGGTCGGGTATGGAAGGCCAGTCAGGCGAAGCGGGACATACTACATACGTCGCTCTTGTTTTTTAAGCAAATGTCCTCCATACATTCATGGTTGGGACTATTTAGCTTAATCTGCTCATTACAAGGTCTACCTTGGAAGCCGATTACACAGTTCTGCCGGCTTATCCCATCGGTGTTACGTGTTACGGATTAGATCACAGTGTGGGATTAACTGGGGCATGTATGAATACGCTGGCATGTTTTACCGTTGTAGACAAACGCGGGTTATAGATAGGAAACTTTACAATGGTATTTACGGCAACGTTTTTCACGTATGGAGTGGGAAAATCAATGGAACAAGTTCGGAACATTGGTAGTTACGATAAGATGATTTGTTCATCGCGTACCCCCATACGGGCGTTGGATTTAACTCTTCATTTAAAACAGTGTAGAAATGAATACTTATTGAATACCTTATACACATGGACACCTAACAGAACTTATATCAGTACCCACGTGGTTTCTATGTTTTCTGTAGGATTATAGAACAAAGGTAATCAGACATGTCATGATAAAACTAGTATCCCTTTGACCCGAAGGCGACTCAGCGTTTATATATCTAACGTTGAATGCGTCGGTCCCAACGCTTGAAAGTTTAATCCCCTGAGATGGCTGGCGTGACGGTAATCTGATTGTTGCGTAGTTTGTGATCGTTAAATACAGTTAACTTCGGGTGGAAAATAATTCATCACTGTCATATCAGAAGCTGGAAACACATTCATCAATACGGTCGCTAGGTTCAATCCTGGGCTTTTACAACATAGCGCTGAGACAGGACATTGCAAATATCGCCTATTGCCCGAAATCAACCAGACCTTCCCATTAGAAAACACCCTACTTCCGCATTATCGATTCTCATCACACGCGAGTATAGTAGAATGTTCAGTTAAATGGCAAAGGAATAGATCGGAGATCGGCCAGTAATAGCTTAGTTATTAACGCAGCAATCCCAGACCTTTATTTCCCCATAACTCACAATAGGATTTAAATAGTGTTTACCATATCTCATACAACGCTTGTCCAATGACCGTAACACTATGTTTAGTGTTAAGTTTATGTATGAAATTTAAAAAGGTGTACCTACCTGAGGCCGTTTGTCAAGAATCAGTTTCACATTTTCGGCGCTCCCTTCCTTAATCGCTAATTGTAAAGCGTTAATCCCGTTTTGATCCTTCTGGTTTGGGTCAGCCCCAGCTGATAGAAGTATCGCCGCCAGGGTAGGTGTACAACAGGAGACCGCCCAGTGGAGGGCTGTCTGACCGTCCGTCGTCTTTGCCCTAACATTGGCACCGCTCTTAAGCAACAGCAAACAACACTCCGCATAATCCTCCGCATCTCCATCACCCTCCTTCAACGCTTTGGCACACAGAATCAGAGCTGTTGTCCCGTCCTCATCCAGTTCCTCGTTGACTCTCTGGCTGACAGATCGGACAGGGAGGTCCTTGAGTAACTTGGCCAGCTGTTTCGCGTTCCCCTTGGTGAGATATTCCCGAAGTTTATTACGGGCCTCCATGGTTGAGTCCCCCGGTAGCTTGGCGCCCGTCACCCTCACATCCACGTGGCCAACACTCCGACAACACGGGACGACCCCTCCTTGACCATAACACACCTACCCTCGTCGGGACGTAAATATTGACGGGGCCCGAGTTACTAAGACGTGCGAGTGGATCTCTCGCGTTCCATTCAGCCCCAATTGAATTCACTCGGCCGCTATCAATTGTTGCCGCCTGACTATCCTATAACAAGGGTCTCAACGAGCGGGTGATCTAGAAGACTGTTCATATGTATGAATGTCTGTATATCTCGTCTGTGACGGATTGCCTCCCGTGTCTGAAGTTCTAATCATTGTTGCCAAGGCGCTTAACGTTCTTTTCGTCCGGCGAGTGGAGTTCTGTAAAATGAGTTGGTGACGCGCATAGAAGGATTGGAGTCAATAATTTCTATGTCCAATCCAGTGTCAGAGATATCGTTTACCAGATTGGCTTGTTCCTGGGTTGGACAGAGTCCCATGTGTTTGGAAAAAATGTTTTCTCCATTGATCCGCGCATGTGGTTTCCAATATTACCACATTATGCGACCTCACAGATACGGGGTCAGCATGCCATAGCTGCAATCAAAGTGTGATACATATATATGTACATCGGGCAGCACTAAATGAGCAATTCGCCGTGCTGAAGTGAAACAATGTCACATCGTCTATATGGAACCCAACACAGCAATAACAACGCTATAACATTGGCCGTATCTCCTAGCAGCTGTTACCAACATGACCCGTCACTGTATCTCTCCCACTTCCATCAGTACCACAACACCAGACCGTCCATCCTCTTCATCAACCCGGTATCATTGGCGTGAACAACCACATGGACGGCCGTCGGTAGATAGGTGCATAGCAACGACGGCAACGATCTTAAAACGCACTAGTCGCAAGGCGGGTACACTTGAGAAGTTCCAAAAATCAATCAAATCTTGCAGCAGGACTCGGCCAACACAAGGCCCCTCCCGAATCAATCAGCAATTATCCACTTCAAATAATTCATTATGTGGATCTCACAAGTGATCGTGAGTTTACAGAGGCGGGACCTAAGTGTACTCCCGCTTATAAACTGACCGCAAGAGAAAATAGTTCCAAACCTAAAAACACTGACAGGAGTATGCGTCACTTAGGTCTTCCCATGTATGAATTCAGTATAATTTGTCCTATGTGTTTCCGTCGTTGTGATCCTATTGAGAGTCCACCAAAGGTTTAGAGCCTCATGAAGAAAGCTGATTCTCTCGGTTCTATCCCCGTGATCATGATGGAGTGACTTCAGAAGGTACAGTTCGCATCCTTTGAGACCTCGTTCCTTACTTCTTTGACAACGGTGGTGGTCTTGCCTCCCTGCGTTCCTTGTCACACTCAATCTCAATTGTGAGCTGAACCTAAATAGGAAATTAGCAGCTTGTTAGATACAACGAAGGGCACTGATTGGTTGGATTGTGCACGTTGATAATCCCGTTAACGCTTGCGCTTGGATTAAGGCGATTATGACACAAGGGTGGCAATAATAAGTCACAATTAGACGCATTGTTCGTATAACATATTTTGAAACTCAAGATGGGAATAATCAATACATTTGTTTCTAACAAATATAACATGTTTCACGAATAAACAAATATTTCAACGATATACACAGACATTCTGTATAAAAAAATATCTCCTTTGAATATATACTGAACGAAATTTCTTAGGGATCATTGATATATTTGGTGTTATTTTTGTTATGAATACTGAACACACAATTTCATAACTAAGACAACATTGTTATTGATGATCAACTTGTTTATTACAATTGGGCGACGTTTCGGTGTAGATTCTAACACCGTTATCAAGCAAATGCTTGATAATCATTTGCTTGATAACGGTGTTAGAATCTACACAGAATCGTCGCCCAATTGGAATAAAGAAGTTGCTCATCCATAACAATTTTGTCTTAGTTACCATTCCAACTTCTAAATGCCACTCAAAGAAGTTACACAATTTCATGAAAATATCAAACATATTCATGATCTCTAACCTTTCTATTCAGTATAATTCGTACAAACAAAAAACGTGACACTATTATTGCTACAGTCAGAACATAGTGTAGCTCAATAAATGACTGGTCCTGACAGTTTCTGTTTGTCTGTTCTATAGAGGTGGAATTATCTAGAGGAAAAAAATCACAGAACATGTGGATGTGGAAAACATTAAAACTGATTGACGGAATCAATATCCTCCTGGAGACACCGTCGCACAAAGTGACGGTTTAATATTCCATATGTATCGCAATACTGATCCTTTGCGTTGAAAGCCTTTCGCATCGGTCGTAAAATATTGACACAGAATTCCAAGCGCGGGGTATGTCGGGGACTTTGACAACTTTTAACATCCTTCTACAGCGCTGTCGACCTTCAAAGCGAAATAGGAAGACTGGTATTTAGATAGTTTGGCACACAGTCAGTACCTTGGTAGCATGTGTCTGTATGGACTTGAAACCTGTCATAGCATGGAAGAGTGGTAAGTAAAAATCAATACCTACAGTTTGTAAGTACACAAACGATATTGATTCTGGTAATGACTCGTTTGTATTCCCTACCTTCATCCTCGGATTCATAAATAACGTATTTACAAATAATACTCTGAGTGAACGAAAATATTATTTTCCGGGTAAGCTCAGTCGTTTTATAAATAGGTGTGAATATAGCCTCTTTATGAGGGCATTTAGGTAAACGGCCCTGACCTACATGAAGCTGTAGGTGATAGGTAGGTCAAGTGATGGACTTCACACGCGTATTGATTTTTACAGCTATGAAGCGGAGCAGTGGGTCGTTGTGTGAAATGAGTTTGATTCCCTCCAGGGGTACGTGTGTACCCTAAACATACACAATGTGAATTTTACACATCAAGGCCAGAGAATAAACACTCTCGATTATCTAGTGAAACCGATTCCATTGAGCTTCAAAGGCAAAAGGGTGGTGAAAATTGTATAAATGGATCAGTAAAAATCAGTGATGACACCAGGGGTTCGCGAAAAGGATAAGCATGTCATGGCCTGCCAGTGGCACAATTTGCATAAAAGGTGCGTGTTTTTTGTTTGTTGCCTAACGCCGGAACCCCCTAACTCATTGCACAGTTGTGTACTTTATTAATTGAAGTATATAAAAAAATCAGTAGTATTTATTTCTTCAAGCAGTGCATGGGTGACGTCACAATACCGTATTTCATACCATGACTGCGTCAACACGGCGACACAGCATGAACAACACAGCATAAGACAGATCGGCCATTATTGTACATCTCGTACAACTGTACAACATAGTACTACACAGAACATCTGGCACATCAATACACCCACCAAGACACATTACAAGCACCACAGCTTCCACAACTGTACAAGAGTGTACAACGCATAACACAATACAGCTCGTACAACATGGTAAAACACACAGATCACACATATCACAACATTGCACAACACACAACACTGGACGCACAACAGACGCACAATCTGTACAACATTATACAACACACAGCACAACACACACAAGTGTACAACATCATGCATTACACAACACAACACAGGACGCACAACAGTGCATTACACAACGCACACCACACCACGCACAACAGTATAACATTATATAACACACAACACAGCACACGCATCAGTACAACATTATACAACACACAACACAGCCCACACAGCAGTACAACATTATACAACACACAACACAGCCCACACAGCAGTACAACATTATACACCACAGCATACAACACAGCCTGCACATCTGTACACCACAGCCCGCATAAATGTACAACAATATACACCACAGCCCGCATAAATGTACAACAATATACACCACAGCCCGCATAAATGTACAACAATATACACCACAGCCCGCATAAATGTACAACAATATACACCACAGCCCGCATAAATGTACAACAATATACACCACAGCCCGCATAAATGTACAACAATATACACCACAGCCCGCATAAATGTACAACAATATACACCACAGCCCGCATAAATGTACAACAATATACACCACAGCCCGCATAAATGTACAACAATATACACCACAGCCCGCATAACTGTACAACAATATACAACACAGCCCACATAACTGTAGAACAATATACAACACAGCCCACATAACTGTAGAACAATATACAACACAGCCCACATAACTGTAGAACAATATACAACACAGCCCACATAACTGTAGAACAATATACAACACAGCCCACATAACTGTACAACAATATACAACACAGCCCACATAACTGTACAACAATATACAACACAGCCCACATAACTGTACAACAATATACAACACAGCCCACATAACTGTACAACAATATACAACACAGCCCACATAACTGTACAACAATATACAACACAGCCCACATAACTGTACAACAATATACAACACAGCCCACATAACTGTACAACAATATACAACACAGCCCACATAACTGTACAACAATATACAACACAGCCCACATAACTGTACAACAATATACAACACAGCCCACATAACTGTACAACAATATACAACACAGCCCACATAACTGTACAACAATATACAACACAGCCAACATAACTGTACAACAATATACAACACAGCCCACATAACTGTACAACAATATACAACACAGCCCACATAACTGTACAACAATATACAACACAGCCCGCATAACTGTACAACAATATACAACACAGCACGCATAACTGTACAACAATATACAACACAGCCCACATAACAGTACAACAATATACAACACAGCCCGCATAACTGTACAACAATATACAACACAGCCCGCATAACAGTACAACAATATACAACACAGCCCACATAACTGTACAACAATATACAACACAGCCCACATAACTGTACAACAATATACAACACAGCCCGCATAACTGTACAACAATATACAACACAGCCCGCATAACAGTACAACAATATACAACACAGCCCACATAACTGTACAACAATATACAACACAGCCCACATAACTGTACAACAATATACAACACAGCCCGCATAACAGTACAACAATATACAACACAGCCCGCACATCTGCAGAAAACAGCCCGCACATCTGTACAACAATATACAACACAGCCCGCATATCTGTACACAACAGCACAGTTAACAATGCAACAACTCAATTGCACAACCGCTTAAAAACTGACGGACTTGTGTCCTAAAACACAACGTGCCACAACACAAGCGCTGACTAACACATTTCATGACGGATCGTCCACTCAGTCACACAAAGGCAGGTAATATTCAATATTTCATAATCAGAACTTCAAAACATAATACTTCATTCTCCCCTTGACGCGCTTCTCTTGTGTAAATCGAGTAACGCGCTGTGCAGTTAGTATCAAACGACAACATGTCATCAAAATTCACGTGTGCATGTATTTGTGCATCAATACTCACGTGTGCATTTCGTTGTGCATCAATACTCACGCTTGCCTGTCTTTGTGCATCAAGTCAACACAACAGCGACAGACAATAGCACAGTCCCGTGCTATTTGCCCTTTCCATGATGGATCCCCATCAACACACTTCCGTCAACCCGCTTCCGCGGTAAGAATTCCTTGGTTTTGATTTAGCCGTCGGCATTCGCCGTCGTCGACGTCGGAGACACAGATAGGGACGCAGACTCGACAAGTCGTCACCACTCACCTGAGCAATCGCACACGAAAAATTGTCATTTTGTGATGTAACCCAATTTATCGATTTCTCGTGGAGAAACTACGTTCCAATATAGGGTCTATTTTTTACCCTGGCGTATTCTCGTCCGTCGCCGGGCGGTAGCCTCCGGTGAGCCTCCGGAATGTAATCACTTGACGACTGTCGTTGTAGATCTCGTTTACTGGCCTGTTTGCGGATGATTACGAGAATCTTTCAACTAATCTGTTATTCACAGTCATCCCAGCACGGTGTTGTAGAGTCTGGGCCAATTTCCCAACATCCTATGGCATTATGAGCTTGCTGTTCGCTGATGTGTGTTAATTACTATTACGATGATGGCGGGGTCGGCACCAAAGGAACCCAAGCTATTTTCGTGACCTTATATACTGAACCGCAAAAGAAACGTCACAATGCATAGATATATGAGAAACCTTATTTGTTCAAATAATGTAAACATACTTTGAGACATATTAAAAAGATGAAACTTGGCAAAACTGATCATCAAGGTTGAAATTAAAGTGTCAATGTTCTTAAAATGAAACACAACACTAGTTTCTAAGAAAATGGCATCACATGTCAGTATCTCGTGTGTCCGCCATGTGCATTGATGACGTGCAACGTTGATACATGAATGGATGACGCGGTTGAAGAAGGCCATAGGCACTTGAGCCCACACTCTGAAGAATGCCTGACGCAGTTCAGCTGCAGTTGTCGGCCTTGGTCGGACGTCATTCGGCTGTCTTTGAATCTCGTCCCACAGGTGCTCAATTGGATTTAAATCGGGCCGACCCTCTGTGCAAGACCAATTCCACCCTGCTCCGTGATGCTCGGACCACCCCATGGGTCTCTCTCAGCAACACAAGCATTCGAATAACGTTTCTCTCTCTCTCTCTCTGCCATCTGCTGTTGAGATACAGTAGCGGGTCTCGTCTGAGAAGAGAACTCTTCTCCACTGCTGCTGGTGCCAATGCTGGTGCTGTGTTGCCCACTGAAGACGGTCCCGGCGATGACGTGGTGTCAGAATGGGTCTTCGGTGTGGTCTGTGACAGTGGAGGTGTCTGCTCGACAATCATCGACGCACTAATGTGTCGCTGGTGTGTCCCCATGGTCTGTCGAGCAGTTTCCGCAGCAGTAACAAAGCGATCTTGAAGATGCTGTCGCACAATCTGACGATCCTGGCGTCGGGTGGTGACCCTTGGTCTTCCACTACGTGGTCGGTCATTTGTAGTGTTGGTGGTCTTGTACCGTTGCTGGAGCCTGTATATGGTCCTTACGTGGACCTGAAATGCATTGGCTACTTGCCGGGCGGTTGGTCCACCTTGCAATCGTCCAATGGCTTGGTGTCGCTGATCATTTCTTGTCAATCTTGGCATGTGGTAGCAATTCAATAACGAATGAATGTTATCCGATCTGGGTGGATTTTTATAGGGCAAGAAATGGGGGGACGCATGTGCATTTCAATTTGCACGGAACTCACGTGCATCGGGTTACCATGGTCGTTGCCGTGATGCGTTTGGGCGATTGGTTTTATTGTCATCTGCTTTGTTTATTCTCATCAAATTTCATTTTTCCGGACAAGGTAATGATAATTTTAGAAACTTTGACAAAAATTACCCAAATATTTAAATGACAACTTTTCATGCAATGTTACTTGGGGTGACGTTTCTTTTGCGGTTCAGTATAATATCACATCTGAGCCTCAAAGGAATTCATCCCTGTTGAAAATCAGCAAAGGAGTTGGTTGGTTGCGTATGAATATTCGCCGATTTTAACAAGATTGAGAATCGTTGGGACACCAGAACTAGCCTTCACGTGGGATTCGAACCCGGATCTTCCACAGGAAGACATTGAGGGTGGTTTGCATTGTAATGACGGCTGTTATAACGAATATTAATTAATGTAAGGGACCCGTGAACATCCGGGGTAGAATAGGTCTTCAGCAATCCCTGCTTGCCGTAAAAGGCGACTATGCTTGTCGTAAGAGGCGACTAACGGGATCGGGTGGTCAGGCTTGCTGACTTGGTTGATGCATGTCATCGAATCCCAAATTGCGTAGATCGATGCTCATGATATCAATCACTTCTTGGTCCAAACTCGATTATTTACAGACCGCCGTCATATAGCCAGAATATTGCTGAGTGCGGTGTTAAACAACAAACAAACAAACAAACATTAATGTTACGGAACATCAACTTTCACATGGGTTTGACAACGGAAACATACCTTTGCAAGGATTTGTGTTTCTGCAGTGAGGAATTCTTGAAAACGGAAAGCAGTGTTTTTCAGCCTCAGAAAATTTCTAATCATTTCATTGAAGACAGGACCTCGTGAAAATTAACCCACACGTGCATTGCTGAGACCTAGCCCGACGTAAACTCATGGTTAACGCATGCTAGGTTGTTTTTTTATAGGTCTCCCAAATATGAAAGGATATAGGGTTTTTTCCCAGCTTAAATTTTGAACGTAGGTCGTGTTGGGACAGTGAAAAGCCGGTTGTTCGAGCCACATCATACCAAAACAGGTAACGATGGTACTTGTTGTTACCCTGCCTGGCGCTCGGCATTAAAGGTATAAAACTACGACTGGTCGGCTCAGAGTCAGTCTGAGTGGGGTATTCGGGTTAAACTGCGGTATGGTATCTCAGTGGGCTGGCACTATAAAATAAGTCGTGGATGCATGATTAGGAAACACAAGTCCAAACTAGTACAAGCAGCACACACACACACACACACACACACACACACACACACACACACACACACACACACACACACACACACACACACACACACACACACACACACACACAACAAAAACAAAACAAAAACAAAACAAAACAAAACATACATACACTCAAAAACACACACACACACACACACACACACACACACACACACACACACACACACACACACAACAACAAAAAAACAAAAAAAAACAACATACATACACTCAAAAACACACGCACGCACGCGCGCGCACACACACACACACACATAAACACACACACACACACACACAAAAACAACAACAAAAACATACATACACTCAAAAACACACGCACGCACGCGCGCACACACACACATAAAACACACACACACACACAAACAAAAACATACATACATTCAAAAACACACGCACGCACGCGCGCACACACACTTAAACACACACACACACACACACACACACACACACACACACACACACACACCTCCAGAGAATCTGTACACAGTTAAGCGAGATCACTGAGAACCTTGGGCACCCTGACTAGTCAACATCCAGTCATGAAAGCTTTTATCAAACGGATTAAGATATCCCAATGAAGCTGCACGCAAACCCCACTCATTATCAATCTCATCAAAGCATCCCATGTACGGAAATGACAAAAATGGCCACCTGTTTTGCAACTGCACCAATAGTTGTTAAATATCATTCATTGTCGTCTCCATGAAGTTAAATCCTGCATTTGTCATTTTTCTTAATTATTGCCTCTTACCTGTGTGTCAAGTGAGATTGTTTTCCAATTTCCTCCTCTATGAATAATGATAGTCGTCTGCTTGGTCACGTGATGAATATGATTAGAAACGTGGCATATGTCACGTGACACTGTATTCGCGTCACCCGCGTTGAAAACTTGGTTCAGATTAGATTGGGAGAACGTGGATAACTGTTATTATTCAAGCAATTTATCGTTCGACATGGGCAATATTGACTAACACAGTACTAATTTAGTCGCATACCAGACCAATGCTCGATATTAATTCCCCAACACATTTTGCCATGATTAAACCCCGAAGGAGATCAAATTGCTTTACAGTCCATAAATGTTGACGTATATATTCTTCAGTTTTATTGTTCTCGTGTTTATGAAATCATTATCTGTTAGCACGGCGTGTGAATTATTCAGCAGGAGTGTTTGGGGAGGACAGGTGTTTCAGTACAAGCCATTTTCAAATGATGTGTTGGTACCAGGAACATGGTTGATCCGAGGCCAATATCCAATTAAAGACATAGTGTGTCCATGACAAGTTTTGGTACCAGGGACGACGTGGATCCACGGGGGCTTCCAAGGACATTGTGGGTCCATGATCGTTATGTTACGGGATCTATGCTGGACCCAGGGGTGTTTTTGTTCCAGGGGCGAGGTGGATCCGCGAAGGTTATGTTACCAGAGGTGAGGTGGATCCACCGTTGTTATGTTACCGAGGGCGATGTAGATCCACCGTTGTTATGTTACCGAGGTCGAGGTGGATCCACCGTTGTTATGTTACCAGGGACGAGATGGATTCACCGTTGTTATGTTACCAGGGGCGAGGTGAATCCACGGGGTTATGTTGGCACGGGCGAGGTGGATCCACCGTTGTTATGTTACCGAGGGCGATGTGAATCCACCGTTGTTATGTTACCGAGGGCGAGGTGGATCCATGGTTGTTATGTTACCGAGGGCGATGTGGATCCACTGTGGTTATGTTACCAAGGGCGAGATGGGTCCACCGCTGCTATGTTACCGAGGGCGATGTGGATCCACCGTTGTTATGTTACCGAGGGCGATGTGGATCCACTGTGGTTATGTAACTAAGGGCGAGGTGGATCCACCGTTGTTATGTTACCGAGGGCGAGGTGGATCCACCGTTGTTCTGTTACCGAGGGCGAGGTGGATCCACGGGGCTTATGTTACCGAGGGCGAGGTGGAACCACGGGTGTTATGCTTCCAGGGGCGAGGTAGATCATGGGTGTTATGTTACCAGGGGCGAGGTGGACCCACGGGTGTATTGTTACCAGGGGCGAGGTGGATCCACGGGTCTAATGTTACCAGGGGCGAGGTGGATCCACGGGTCTAATGTTACCAAGGGCGAGGTGGATCCACGTGTTTAATGTTACCAGGGGGAGGTGAATCCACGTGTGTTATGTTACCAGGGGCGAGGTGGACCCACGGGTCTAATGTTACCAGGGGCGAGGTGGATCCGCGGTGGCTTCCAAGGACATCGTGGATCCACGATCGTTATGTTACGGGGTGAATGCTGGGCCCACGGGTGTATATTGCTGTAATTATTATTGCTGACTGCCGACCGACATGA